CTGTTGCAATCGAGGCATGATCTTGCTGATCAGACCGAGCAGGAGGCGTTACTGGCAACTCTGGTCTGTCTGCACTGCAGCTTACAGTCGGCTTGAAAAACTGCAAAAGGGTCGTCTGTGACGAAGCATCCTGACATCTCGATTTTTTGTTTCGCGCGGCACTAAAAAAGGCTTCAAGAGTGGTTTGGTGGGGATCTTTCTGTCGCAAACGTCGCTCTTTGTTGCGTTGGGTGGGAGCAACAGTCGTGGCGGCCGTTGTGCACTCTTGAGTTTTGGCAGCCACCTTCTGGAGTGACTTACCAGTGATACCTGCAGTTCCATCATTTTCAACCTTGGGTTGATTTCCCTCATGCTCAGTTCGGGGGTTCAGAACAGCCAGAGGCCTCAGTACCGCGCCCTTACCGGCATGCTGAGGACTGCAGTTATGGAACTGTGGCAACTCATCCTCAGTAACCAAATGGGAGGGGGTGGAGTCCATCACAGCTTGGAGAAATCTGGATGAAACGGGGTCTGGTTTGACCGATGCCTGTTGGAGCAGTGATAAGTCATCATTTTCTGGGTCCGGATCCAGAAGAAAGTCCATGAACGTATCTTGCTCCATGTCATTTTGGATAGTTTCAGCAACGATCTGCGTGTCCATGTCAACTTCATTCTGTGGTGGGACTACGATGATGACATACGAACCATGCCTGACTGGTCGACTGCCGTGTTCATCGGAAGGCCATCCCTGTCCGTCCAGTGTCACTGTACACTCGTTTGCAAGATAGTGACAGTAATGGAACACCCCAGCAACCATGAGGAGGTGTGATCGAATAACCTGATATCCAATCTTGTGCACATTGCGCACAGTAGTGGGCTCTGGTGCACTTCCATTTGGCGCAGGTGGAAACATGTATCTTACATCGATCAAAATCAGTCTGTCAGTTGAGCGCGTTGGAACATCCCCAGTCCTCTGTACAATGGCCGGAATCGCCATTTCCGGAAAATCCATAAGCCGTGCTGGTATGGGATAAACAGCTTCTAGGCAATTGAGCGGCACATTGAGTGCTACAGCCATTTCATGCGAGGGCTGCACAAGCTGTGCATTCACTAACTGCATGACTACTTCATGGCCCTCAAGCTGAAACAAGTGCAAGGCAGTCATGAATCTGGCGGCACCTTGAGATGAACTCGCTGAGGTTGGAGCACTGGGCATTATGGAACTACCTGTGCCTGCGGCTGACGTGTCACCTGCTGTTCGGTTCACTGATGAGCTGCTGGCAGCTGTCGCAGAGGGATGAACCAAGTTGCCGTCTTCAATCCTAGATGCTAATTGGGATGGAGAGTTACGGATCAAAACTTGAAAGCCATCACCATGGTTGGTGTCATGATGTGGGCGCAGCGTGTTTGGGATTTCCTGCCATCCAAATGTGATTTTGCAATCATGATGACGGCAGAGGTGCGCCACATCTGCACCATTTATAATGTCAAATCCACTGATGTGTTCTTCAAACGAGCACGCCACGGAAAACAACTCAAAACTGTCTCTGTCTTCAGGGATGATCGTTACAAGGCCTGCAACCCTAGGCAAAGCAAGGGATTGAGTGATGACAAGGTCAAGTACGTAATGTCTTTGTGATGCTGGCCTAGGTGGATCAGGATCAATGATGGTCAGGTCAAACCATTCGTCTGGGTCGATTTGATCGATCCACAAGGAAGAGAACTGCATTTCCCATCCTGGTGGCGGGCCAACAAGCTGAAGGACTCTTGGAGCTGTCCACCTTCTGACTGTTTGGTGATCAAGATACCAAGTTCGTACTGTGATGTCAAAATCATTGTCCTCAGGGTCAAAGCCTAACCTAGCAAGTCTATGAGCTAGGTCGTGCACGAATGCTGGGGGGACATGATGGTTGTGAAGTTCCATGTCATCAGCATCATGGTCTTGTTCGTCATCGGGTTCTGGAGCATCAGGAACCCATGCGACCGGGCTTTCAAAATCTCTTCGGACTTGGAAGATTGGGCGCAAATGCTTCTCGGGAGGATGCAGTGTTCGGGCCTGCAAACTACCAGTGACTTGCTGTGTGTGACCTGAATTGCAAAATTGGGCACCGCTGTCACATGCTTGGGCCTTTTGATCCAAGATTTGCACTACTCCTGGCAATCCTGTTCTATGACTACCGGACTTAGTGACATGTGGTACATGGGCTATCTTGGTCGACTGTGGCCATCTGGGAGCAATGCCTGCAAAAAAAGAGGTGCCCTTGCATCTTTTGGATGGTGTATTTGTTCGAAAGTACTTCTTCCCATCTACAAAACCAGTTACAGGATCAGTTGCTTTGAACTGGGATCTGCCTGCCTTTGCGCTTGAAAGGAGTGAAACATTCGAGGGTACTAGTTCAGAATCCATCATGGCAAGAGTCCAGGGCTTCATGCCTGTGACTAAAGATTCATGCGGTATCTGAATCTGATGGAAATAGATCTCGTCCTCAACTCCAATAAGGACTTCAACGTCCTCAGCAAACGAAACCTTTCTGTGCTGGAATGCGTATGCTGAAGTTCGTGCATAGGCTGGAAAATTTTGGCACTCATCAGGAACGGTCCGGGTGCAAAATTCAAATGAAACCTCAGCTGCAAGGTGGAATGCGGTGTCCTGTGCAGTCCAACTATCTACAAAATCAAGCTCGTGCACAACCGAATGAATCCAGGAAAGAGATGGGCATACCTTCCCAAACTTGGCAAAACTGTCCTGGATTTTCTGTACGGCCCAAACTTGCCTTGAAGTCGGGCTTTGGAATTCATATTGTGCTGAACTTTTGGGATTGGAAAGCTTTGAGGGTTTCATGTGAAAAGACTCCTTTATCCCTTTGCCATCATGGGGCCATGGAGCAATATCATGTATGGCAATATTCACTCGGCCGGGACCAAAGGGGTTTCTTCGGTCTTTTTGTCTGCATGATGATGGTCTGGTGGAGTCATTCTGGGTCGCTTGTTGCTCTTGTCCTGCTGTTCCGCTTCCTGTTGCACCGCCTGTTCTGCTTGGGAGTGCAATTCCTTCAGATTTGTGCTGAGGTCCTGGAAGCTTTCTGCAATGCGTTTTCCGGCCGATGCTTCGAATGCTTTCGGTTCCACATCCTCTGCATCGCTGGTCATGGCTGTGTCTTCCTTCGTGTCCAAACCCACGGTGGTTTGACATGCGGAAAGGTTGGACTTGGCAGTCGCTAAGTTTTCCATCGCAGTCTGCAAGCGATCTGTCAGGGTTTTTTCCTGCTCCATGAATTGAGAGGAGTATTTCTGCCACTGCTGCACTGAGGCAGCCAGGAAGTTGCGCCATGCCATATGCATGTTGAAGCGAGCCTGCTGTGCCTCTTCCACTTCCTTCTTTGCTCGGCCGTGTTGGGTGACTGCTGTGTGAAGCAGTCTGGTCTCTTCTTGGCCGGTTCGGACAGATACCTCTTTCATGAGGAGCTGGACATCGTCTGGTAGATCTTCTTTGTGCCTGCGTAGTGCTGCCAGGAGCGATCTGTATTGCTTGTCCTTGTCCTTGTCGTCCTTGGGGTCTGCTGTACCTCCATTGGCTGACGTAGCCGAGGTCGGACCAGGATTGGGAACTGAATTCAACCAAGGTGGATCCAAAGCAGCAAGCGATTGCGCTGAAGGCGGCCCAAACTGTGGAAGCTCTTCGGCTGGTCCTTTGGATTTGCCTTTGCTTTTGCCCTTTGCTGGCGTAGGATTCCGCTTCTTGGATCTCGGTCTCGGTGATTGTCGACGTCGTGGGGAGGCATGCTGTTTGGTCTCCTTCCATTGTTGATCCTCCGTCCAGGGATGGGAGTAGTCCATTGCACCTGACGAGGATTTTGCTGTCTTTTTGGTTGCACAAAATTGGGATCGGCGCAAATCTGCCAGCCTTGTCCACATTGGCCACAGTACTCGTGTCGGCCGCTGCATATTCTTTTGCACGTAGTGCATTTCCATGGTTCCGGCGTCATAGAGTCCATGTCTGCTTTGATCCTTTTCAAAAAGGCAGTATCCTTCGAATGATGCCTCTGCAGGATTTGCTGGATTCTGTTCAACCTCCAGCGGGGCAAAGGATGGATCTGTCGTCGATGCAGGTACCAGGCTAATCGGGCCTGAGATCGTTGCCTTCGTGCAGCTCGTCTCTGAGTGGGTGTAGCCGTTGCTATCCAAGCAATTATAAACTGCCACAGGGCGAGTTGCCACGAAGTCAAATGCCAGAGTGATGGAAATGTAAAATACTGCAATCACTGCCAGAATTGAGCACATTCACGTATGAGCCAGTGAGGGAAAAAAAGGTCCAGGGAGCTCACCCCAAATTGATGAGCAGTCGATGGGAAGAGTGAAAAAGGTAGACAATGTCAAATACCAGAAACACAGGTTGCACCAGCGACAAATGCAAAAATTTGGAATCCACCCCAGAAAAACCAATGCGATTGCGAACCACTGCAAATCACTGTAAGGTCAGTGCAGAACCAGTTGATTGATACCCGCTGTATTGCCAGTGCGGGATCAGGGGTTGCAAAACAAAATCGCTACACCAAGTCAGTCGATTTAACGGCAGTGAGTTGGGCAGCTGATGTAAGGTCCAGGCCACGTAGAACAAAACGTAGCGGCCACGAAGACCCGTGGAACAAACTGCGTTGCTCCACTCAGGCTATGGCAGGCAGTAACAGCACGACAAAACCTAACAGAGTCGGGGGGCTGTACTGAGCCAACACCTTGGAAGGATGACATCCCATATATGATGGAACTGACGCTTCTCTGAATCCATTGGTTGATCATTTCCTCATTGCCCGGGCATTGCCTTACTGAATCGACTGCGCTTTGCCAAGCCACTTACTAAGTGAGCCATTAAGGCTGTCCCATTCATATGGCTTTCTTCATACTCCCCAATTCAAACTTAAAGTGGTATGTAACTTTATAGTACCTATTAGAATCATAACCATACACAACTATCACTGATCAGTATCAGATCATCAATCCACAAGGGCCGCCCGCAAAGCCGCCTCTGGGGCAGAGCCATGACTCCCGCATTGAGAATTAAGGTGTGCAGCTCGATGTTCAAGCCATAGAATGCCTCCTTGAAGGAACCTGGGATCATTGGAAAAAAAACATACCTTGAAGCTGGCATCCCTGGAAGAATATTTTTTAACATCATGGATTGAATCTGAGAAAATGAGAAAATCCTCTGTTTTTTTTCAAGAGGATTCCCGAAGAAGACATATTATGATTATTAAAAAATATGATTGTATGATGTTTACGTTCCCTTTTCTTTGGTTTATAACCAGCAAAGACAGCCCGGCAATCTATAAGAAAGGATTAAACTTACATGGTTTAAAAAAAAACTATTGATTATTTTAACTGCGATTAACTCTTTTTAACATATGTATTAATATGTGTGTATGTATATATATATATACAATAGTACCCCCCAAACATATTTGGAAGCTTTCTCCCTAATAATCAAATCAAAACATTCATCAACCACCATCAACGATGTTTTTTTAAGATTTCAAAAAGGCGGCCCCAACACTAGAACAAATGAAAACACACGTTAATTCGTTTTTATTACTAGGGGGCAGAATCACATTTGTGGGTGTGCTGGACTCCTATTGCTTTTCAGGTGTCACATTTCAAAACCGCAATGAACAACACCAAAAATACAAGAACTGGGAATGGACCCTAGTCTGAGATGTTTTTCGTATTTGGAGAATTTGGAGGACGTTTAGTCATAGGGGAAGGGTTCACTGATCCATAGCCAGGCCCATAGCAAGGCCCAGTAGCGGACTGATTGCAGGGATGCCAAATCCTTAGTAGAGCCGATCTCGACCCCCTAAAGAAATGTGGATTCAAATACCCATATGCTCAATGGGAATATTGATCAATGGTCATTATAATGGGAATAATAATGTTTAATGGGAATAGAAATGGGAATATATTTTGTAGATAATATACCCATATGCTCCATGTATGGTATATTTACCTACAAAACCAGGTGATTTTGGACAAGGGCAAATGTTGGTTTTTATATTCCAGCACCATATGTATATATATATATATCCCATGAAATCCTAACATGTTTGGTGCTTAAGTCACCATTTTCCCTATGATTTACATAGCTATTTACCTATGATGTCACCATATATAGTGGGAAATGAACTTCCAAATCATTCAACGGACCTGTGGGGAAATTGAACAGCAAGGAATTTGACACCTGAAATCCAGGCAGCAAAGGCAAGGCACCTTCTACCAGCCCACCTTTAAGGGGACCCCGGGGACCCCATTTTAGATGGCAGCCAAGTGCAGAGAAACGGATATGAACTACCAGCAATTTATATACAATAATAACGAATTTAGAACACACATACATATATATATTTATAATTACATTTATTTACATTTATATGTGCCATTATTTGTCTGTATATGTATATAATATATAATAACATATATACATAAGGCCCATGTAGTTATCTGGTACATTCCATAACATACACATTGTCGGGATGCCCTGTTGGATCCCTAAGCCAGGTTCCAGGTCTGATTCACCGGCGGATGGAAGGGGTTTTCCCTCTAAGTGTCAAACACACTCAAGTCGGAATTCGCTTGGCGCAATATTCAAAACCCAACTTTACTCTTGTATGGATCATTTCAGCTAAAACTTGGAAGGCAAACAACAACTCTAGACAATCAGATCCATGGCTGATCTCTCAATCGGTTGTAGTCCCACTTTAAGCGAACACATGAAAACTAGTCAGTCCTATTCCACCATATACTCACCAATCTATTCTGTTTCAGCTATATATACTGAAGTGATGGAAACTGATCAGAAATATATTTATGGAAATCGACTGATTCGAAGATCTGGTGACTGTGCCCGAAATTACACTGACGGATCTTTCCGATGAACATGGTAGTCGTGTGACCTGATACATCTCAGAATCTCAGGTAGCTGCGACCAGCTCTTCTCAACCCCGGATTAACCCTGGGCCCTGGTTGATTCGTTGTGGTACTCCCTAGTAATAAATGGCTACTGAAATGGTACCACCCCAATTCAACAGCCATTTGGAGTTCATTAATCCGGGCTTGACATTAAATGGGTTCACCCCAGTTTTTTTCAGTGGATTAACCGTTGATTCACCCTACTTCTCCCATGTAAATCACTGACCTCAGTCGCCCCCTGGCCACCATCTTACATTCGTTGCCCCAAAAACAACAAGTTGAAACCACCATGACCATCCGGCAAAATGCCGATATATATATATATATATATATATCATATATATATATATCATAAATATATCATATATCATATATATATATATTAAATATATATAACATACAATGGTGCCTTAAATTCAACCTTAGAAATCCTCATCCGTTTCGCAACTTCACCACTTCACCTGCGCCAAATCTGCAAAGTGCTCGAGGCTCCAGTGGCAAATATCTCAACTGCACCGGCAAGGTGAGGTTTGGCATTTTCTCCTTCAAGCCCTGACGCCGATCCCAGCACTTGGTGAAGGTTTCACCATAACTCATCAACATAACTATATATATATATGGGTAAATTATAATATTTCACTAACCTGAATTAAGGCCACCAACTTCTTGCGGTCCCTGCCCACCCCCCGCTGACGCCAAGGGCGAACAGGTTCGAGTCCTTGCTGAAACGTAAATAAAAAGGGGAAACCTGCAGTCAGAAAAAGATCAAGACAAAAGGAAAAAGAAAAAGAGAAAGAAGAAGAGAAAAAGAGGAAGAAGAGGAAGAAAAAGAGAAAGAGAGAAAGAAAAAGATCAAGACAACCTGAATTAAGGCCATTTGGGGATGATTCCCCTTACTAACTATGATTATAGTGAGGTCGCAGTGAGGTCGTTATAATTTACCCAGATATACATATATATATATAAATGTACGTGGGGTCTTATGATGTTTTATACTAGATATACCCTTTGTATTACCGAAAAAATGACATAGCTATGGGAAACACGGCGCCTTCTTGGGATGTTCTCATCGGTCAACTTGCCAGCGGGTACTGTACTGGCGAGTTCCGAGGTTAGTCGTCCCAAAAATGACCAACGTTGGCCTAGTATGACATGGTATATATCCCATATGCTCCATGGTGCTGGCATATTTACCTACATTTACCCCAAACATTGCCCAGTTTTGTAGGTAAATATACCAGCACCATGGAGCATATGGGTACAGATAGCAGACATGAAAATAGAAAAAAAAGCACATGTTTGATACATGTTTGATACATATGTATATATATATATAAACATTATATTTACAACCACCCACAGCAGCCATACATTGGAAATGTCCAAAATGATTTTTTTGTGTTCCAAATGTATGCTGTTTGTATGCTCAAAAGGTACTTCTAAGTGTATTCCAGAAAGGCTCTTTTCCAGCCCATGTTCTGTGTGTATGTCCCTCAGATATAGAAAGACATCCATTTTCCCAGAAAGAGATATCCCAAGTGTGTTCTTCAAAACCTGAAATTCTTCCAGTGATTCAAACTTGTATTCCAACTGTATTCCCCGTCCATCCCGGCCACCTGAGCCCCAAATCCAAAAAAAAACAGGAATGTCTCGAGAAAAGTGTGTTCCAAGTGTATTCCGAGTGTATTCCAAGTGTATTCCAAATGTGTTCCAAGTGTATTCCAAATGTGTTCCAAGTGTATTCCCAAATGTGTTCCAAGTGTATTCCACAAGTTCAAGTGTGTTCCAACTGTATTCCCCAAACTCATTCCAAATGTATTCCCATTAGGCTAATGTATTCCCAAGTGTGTTCCCAAGAGGACATGCACAGTGAACTCGCTGTGCAGTTTGGGGCGGGTTTAAGACAATTTGCAAATACAAGTTGAATACAGTGCTGGTTTTGGACTATGTTTCAAGGCACGTTTTGAAGATACAAACTGAACACAACTGGAATACAAAATAAATCATTTTACTGGCTGCCAATCTATGGCTGGTCAGGCTCTTGATATATATATATATATATAAACATTATATAACCATATAGTATAGTTGATATATTAAAAAACAACACATTTTTTCAGAACCTATCAACACTGGTTGGTGGTATACCTACCCCTCTGAAAAATATGAGCTCGTCAGTTGGGATCATGAAATTCCCAATATATGGAAAAATAGAAAGGTTCCAAACCACCAACCAGAACAGGAGTATAACATCAATGGCTCACATTGCATTGTGAAGTCATTGGTTCCACTGGTAGCCATGCACCAAGGCCCAACTGCTGTGAGTCTTGTGACTCAAGTTTTGGCATGGTCCAATTATGGGGCATACATTAAGAACATATGTATACATATGTTATAAACCATTGCATTTGGGGTTCTATGTGTTGAAATAAGATGATTGGGTCTGACTGAAGTGTGACTGTGAACTAGACTGAAAACTAGGTGTCTTTGGGGGTAGGACCTCGTTCCAACAAGCATCTGTTTTCAGACAAACCTTCCATCGCCACAAAGTGATGTCCGATAGTTAGCTACCATTAAGTTGGTTTATAATCAGCTTTGCTATTGGATCTAGATATATGATATATATATTGTATACTGTACAGTTGGGATCCTAAACAGATTTACAAACTGAAGGTTCACCGCTTTGTAGGAATCTTGAGGTGCCCCATTTCTGGGTAAAATTTTGCAAAAACAAGGTTCAGGAATATGTTCGATTTAAGTTACCAATCCGGGAATAACCCAAAATAGGGGGACCTTTTTTCACCATCCGTTCCCATTTGTATAGAAAAACAAATAGATCAGTTGAACAGTTCTGGTCACCCATGTAATTTGCAGAAACCCAAAAAATCGGAGAAATTGGTACCCCAAATTGGACGTGTTCTCATCCCTGTTTCATCATGTTTGTGAGGATGATCCAAGTAGATGGAACAAATCCTGTTGATTCCCCATGAAACCAGGATGGGAATCACTAGCTAGACCCTCTGTTGGTCACAAAAATGGGTAAAAGTAGAAGATTTATGGGCAAACATATCAATATTTATAGGTATGGAGTGTCTGTCTATTCTGAACGGACTTGGGACTGCAGGTGGTTTTATATCTATAACCATAGCATTGCATATGATATACCACAGTTAGATTCATGGGATACCCCCCAGTTCTGTGTGGGTTGTTAGGAGATCCACAGTTAGCCTCCAGTAAATTAACATAACTATGGAATATGCACCATTTAGTTCGATGATTTACCCAGCTATAAATGGTGATTTTCCAGTTCGCTATGTTAAATTACCAGATGGTAAATCCCATTAAAGTCCATTAAACCACCATAAAAACTCTTTAAACCACCATGTTCCTGCGGTTTTCCTATGGTTTTCCTATGGTTTTCCTATGGTTTTCCTATGGTTTTCCATATGGTTTTCCATATGGTTTTCCATATGGGTTCAATCAACGGTTCAGCATCCCAGCAACTCCCGTTAAACCAAGGACCTCCATGGCTTCCAGATGCTTCTGCGAGTCGCGGCCAGCCATGATCACGGTACCATACTCGCCTGGCGATTCTCCCATTGAACATTGCGATTTTCCCATTGAACATGGCGATTTTCCCATTGAACATGGCGATTTTCCCATTGAACATGGCGATTTTCCCATTGAACATGGCGATTTTCCCATTGAAAATGGCGATTCTCCCATTGAACATGGCGATTTTCCCATTGAACATGGCGATTTTCCCATTGAACATGGCGATTTTCCCATTGAACATTGCGATTTTCCCATTGAACATGGCGATTTTCCCATTGAACATGGCGATTTTCCCATTGAAAATAGCGATTTTCCTATTGAAAATTGCGATTTTCCCATTGAACATGGCGATTTTCCCATTGAACATGGCGATTTTCCCATTGAACATGGCGATTTTCCCATTGAAAATGGCGATTTTCCCATTGAACATGATGATTCTCCCATTGAACATTATGATTTTCCCATTGAAAATTGCGATTTTCCCATTGAAAATGGTGATTTTCCAATTGAAAATGATGATTTTCCCATTGAACATGATGATTTTCCCATTGAAAATTGCGATTTTTCCCATTGAACATGATGATTTTCACATTGAACATGATGATTTTCCCATTGAAAATTGCGATTTTCCCATTGAACATGGCGATTTTCCCATTGAACATGGCGATTTTCCCATTGAAAATTGCGATTTTCCCATTGAAAATTGCGATTCTCCCATTGAAAATTGCGATTTTCCCATTGAAAATTGCGATTTTCCCATTGAACATGGCGATTTTCCCATTGAACATGGCGATTTTCCCATTGAAAATTGCGATTTTCCCATTGAACATGGCGATTTTCCCATTGAACATGGCGATTTTCACATTGAACATGGCGATTTTCCCATTGAACATGGCGATTTTCCCATTGAACATGGCGATATTCCCATTGAACATGGCGATATTCCCATTGAACATGGCGATTTTCCCATTGAACATGGCGATTTTCCCATTGAACATGGCGATTTTCCCATTGAACATGGCGATTTTCCCATTGAACATGGCGATTTTCCCATTGAACATGGCGATTTTCCCATTGAAAATTGCGATTCTCCCATTGAACATTGCGATTTTCCCATTGAACATGGCGATTTTCCCATTGAACATGGCGATTTTCCCATTGAACATGGCGATTTTCCCATTGAACATGGCGATTCTCCCATTGAAAATTGCGATTTTCCCATTGAACATGGCGATTTTCCCATTGAACATGGCGATTTTCCCATTGAACATGGCGATTTTCCCATTGAACATGGCGATTTTCCCATTGAACATGGCGATTTTCCCATTGAACATGATGATTCTCCCATTGAACATTATGATTTTCCCATTGAAAATTGCGATTTTCCAATTGAAAATGGTGATTTTCCCATTGAAAATGGTGATTTTCCCATTGAACATGATGATTATCCCATTGAACATGACGATTATCCCATTGAACATGGCGATTTTCCCATTGAACATGGCGATTTTCCCATTGAAAATTGCGATTCTCCCATTGAAAATGGCGATTCTCCCATTGAAAATGGCGATTTTCCCATTGAACATGGCGATTTTCCCATTGAACATGGCGATTTTCCCATTGAAACTTTGCGATGTTTTTCCTATTCCCCACATTGAACATGCGATTTTCCCATTGACAATGGGCGATTTTCCCATTGAAAATAGCGATTATAATGGCGATTTTTCCCATTGAACATGATGATTTTCCCATTGAAAATTGCGATTTTCCCATTGAACATGATGATTTTCTCATTGAAAATTGCGATTTTCCCATTGAACATGGTGATTTTCCCATTGAAAATGGCGATTTTCCCATTGAACATGATGATTTTCCCATTGAACATGATGATTTTCCCATTGAAAATGGCGATTTTCCCATTGAACATGATGATTTTCCCATTGAACATGATGATTTTCCAATTGAAAATTGCGATTTTCCCATTGAACATGATGATTTTCCCATTGAAAATGGCGATTTTCCCATTGACAGGTCAGGTCAGGTCAGGTCAGGTGTGTTTTCAAACGTCTGAATCAATGAGTAAGTGCGGGCTTGCACTACCATTATATAATGTCCTGAAGTTTGTTTTCTGTTCAGTTTGAAAGCAACTGAGGCGGGTTCACCTCCTGCTTTCTTGTGGCACCCCCACAGGAAGCCAACTACTTGCGACAAAGCTTGCGTCTGGCTCCATCTTTCCCCAAAGGTTCTAGATATACTGAAGTGCTTCTTGACACGCTTTGATTTCTCTTGCTCAGGAGTAAGAACTCGTGGATAGTATCCTTGAAAGGAATTGGTGGGCACCTGGAAAGTCAGCACACATGCTCCAACACCTGGTTTGGGTCTCAATTTCTTGAGAACGACAGGAGTGTGGAATTCAGCTGCAGCACGGGGAGCACAGAGACGGTTTCGAATCAGTTCCTCCCGCTTCTGGTCTGCCAACTTCTCAGCCAACCCCTCAAAGTCTCGCAGAAAGTCAGAAGGGTCCTCATGCTTCATTTGCTCCAACGCCTCTTGCATCACTGGCCTTTGAATGATCGTTTTTGTCTTTGCAGTTGCTAGCAATCGACTCAACATCTCTTCATGATCATTCTCTCGAAGTTCTGGAAAATGATGGCGGATCAAAGCCATCCTTAGTTGATAGGTGATGATATCGGAATACGTAAGAATAGATTGTCTTGGCCAAACAGGGTTTGGAATCACCACCATGAATCGAAACGCTATAGAAAGCGACGCATTAAATCGCGCCCCATCACCACCGTGTGTGTGTGTGTGCGCGCTTGTGTATGTGTGGGTCTGTGTATGTGCGCATGTATGCTATGTAGGTGAAAAACTTTCAAACATTGCCTTTTTCACATCTTTCAAAGTGTCAATTTGCTCTTCATGGTGATTCTTTTCTCCTGAAATTTGATAACCTTGACCTTACACAGCAGAATGAGGACTCCAAGGTTGCTCACCATGTGAGGCGTCAGAGACCCATGCTGAAGCCAATGCGCAATCATAGTAGATTCAGGGCCGCTCTGGGCCAAAAGAATACCCCGTCCTTGATGGTCAGTCCGGGAGCCAGGGAAACCTCAGTTCAGAAGGTTGAGGTTGAGGTTGATAAGTTCTTTTTGGACTTGTCTTAAAATTTCTTGGGAAACAAAACCTTTGCTGCTGACTCAAAGCAAACAACTCGCAGAGACTGGCACGCCAACCCATTGCTCCTCGATAGCAGCATCAGCTAGGTCACCACCAATGTGCACACCCGCCTCGAACCGCAATCTGTCCCGAGCAGCCTCTGGGGAGTCATGGAAGTTTGCAACCAGGAAAAGATCATCCTCAGTGTTGCAGGCATGCGCAGGTCAAAGGTGAAAGCAACCCTATCCAAAACTGGAGCATAGTGAGAGAAACCCCAGAGAAAATGGAGGGGAAACAGCATGTGCAGAAAAATACTCCGCTGAAGGGCCTTTGGAAAAGAAATTCGTATTGCTAAACCCTTTCGTGATTCTGATATCTCCTCAATCATCCACAACATCACTGCAGCATGCACAAAGCCCAAGGAGAGATAGACTTTTTGAGAGGGGAGGTGCTTGAACACCATGCCTTCCTGCAGCAATCCCCCGGTCCACAAACCACTCACACCGGTGAAGTGCTGGGGCCCATCTCCAACGCAAAGCCTCAGAGCCACCATGCTGGCCACTGATCGAAACTCCGCTTGTTGCCCAGCCGGCTTCACGTCAAGGTTTGTAGTAGAAGCCGCTCCTCTCAGCAGGTGTCTATGGGCCCAATTGTCCCACTAGTTGGTCCTACTTCAAACATGGACAAAACATCAACTCTAAACCCCTTCTCATTGATGTCTACTTTGGATTTGAACCAGTCCTGTCTTGCAGAACTCTTTCATCATCTTGCCAGTTTCAGATACTATGGTGACCTTCTCCCCAAAAACCTCTTGCCGGCTCTTGCTGGTTTCCTTGGCACCTCTGGAATTCCAATCGCCCTTCTGCAACCCGACAAACGGCATTGAATTGAGTCGCCCTGAATGCACGTTGTTGAAAAACACCCGCTCTGGACTCGTCAGACTTGTCCACTTGGCATCCCGTGAAACGCTGTCAGAGATGTCACCTATGACGTCTTCGAGCGTCTCCTTGGTGGAAATGCTGGTGCTTGCCAGTCGATGTACATGTGCATACACGGCATTCGGGCTCCATCTGTGCTCCTTCGCATGCATCCAAAACTCCTGTCAACAGACAACGATTGTTAGAACCACCGTGGAATTGAAAGACCATTTAGGATCAGTGTGTCCCATCCACAGTGGTATATATATTTCAGTTTTGGGCGGAGGAATCTTTATTGATATATCTTTATTGACATGCGCTCAATTCCGAGTCTCACAGTCTTGGGATCACAACAGGTTTAGTGTTCAGGGCAGAAGTCCGCTGTGCCTCAGCCACAGTCAGCTTGTGAGCCCAAAGGTGGTCGAAGAGGTTTCCCAGTCCCTCAAGGCATGACGGCAATAACGAAGACCGACTGTTGGCACCCAAAAACAAAACAAAGTCTTAAAACGAGGTGAACCATTTCTGCTGTACAGCAATTTGTTTCACAACTGTGTGGCCTCCTTATCTTGATGGCCATGATCTCGCAAACAGCGAAGTCCCGTCTCCACGCACATTGCATCTCGGTGGATTGAATCCATGGAAGCCTGGGACTCAGCAATGTCCTGGTGAAGAATCCCGCTCCAATTGTGAGGTGGTAGCTCGCTCCAGGAAGCACAAACCCAAGCCCTGTGTGCAGCGCAGCGCACGACTAGTTTGAAGAACAAGTTTGCGTCCTCAGACCTTTGCACATTGGTTTCATCATCTTCACCCCCATGAGCAAGGCTCAGCTTTGCCATGGCCTCTGTGTCATCCATCGTTCCTAGAATTCTGGAAATGCAGTGACACCAGAATCTGCGGGCCCAACTGACTTGCAATCTGAATGAGTTCTGTGGACCTGCTTGATCGTCCATGACGCT